TGTTGGAGGACTTAAGAGCCCATCTGAGCTGCCCTCAGGGAACTGAGGCATGTGCCTACTATAGGCTTAGGAAAATGGAAAGGAATCGAATGAAATCATGTACATAAGCTCAGGCCTTTGGCAGCACATGGGTGGGCATTTTGCTTCTCCCAGGTTATTCCTACTATTATCTTGCTTCCTCAGGCCCTTGGGGAATTGGGCCCTACTTAACTGGGTGGCAGGAGGACGGGGAAGGGTGAACACCAAGTAAGCCTCCTCCAGGCAGAGGGAGCCAAGGGGTTTGGCTGCCCTGAAACTTCCAGCAGATCAGAAGCACTTTCCTCGGGCTCCTTCTCCTTTGTGCCTTAAACGTCCCCCTAACATGGTGCCGACCACATTTATCTGGGTGTCTGTGTACCCCACAAAGACCCTCAAAGACAAGGACCATGTCTGTGGTTTGTCTATACCCGAGCATATATCACAGAGGAAGAGTAGGAGCAATGCAAATGTATGCTGAAAAATCAAGAGGGACAGAGACAGAGCTGGAGAAAATTGAGGTAGAGGGAAACCACCCAGCAGGAACCCGGGCCATGAACTTGGAGGAGGCGGAACTGGCTAGCCCTCCTGGTCCTAGAAACCAGCCCCAAAGAAATGTGAAAGTGCATCCTGTATGGCCCTTGTGAGGAGATAAAGGGTTCCATGATTACATAAGCTGTGAGTCTCGGCCCCTTCCTGGGGTGGCCCAGGAAATGCAGGCCTCGACCAGGGTGGGGGTTGGGAAGACTGACTCTGACTCTCCCTATCTCCACAGATAGTCCTTGTGCTGGGTGGAGAAGAGAGGGCAAGCAGGGGGCTTGGAGAGTCACAGCGTGGGCCCCTCTAGGGTGGTTTTGGAGGTTTGGAGCAAGTCACACATCAGGAGTGACCCAGCTATGGTACATGAATCTACTCCCTTCTAACCCAAGTCTAAGATCTGGTATTACCTTATCAAGGTAGGAACATGGGTTTTAGGAAATTGAAGCACATGCTTACTTTAACCCTCTGCTCCCGAGTAAGAAGGAGAAAAAGAAGAAAGAGGGAATTCGGGCTCTGAAGCCAGACAGACCTGAGTTCAAATCCTGACTTCACCACTTACTTCACCTGTGTGACTTTGGGCACATTACTTTACACGTGGGTCTCCATGTCCTCACAGGTATAATTCCCATCTGATGCTCAGGTTAAGAACATGGGTTCCAGAGCCAGACTGCCAGGATTTGAATCCTCACATTGGCTGTGGGAACTTGAGGCAAGTTACTTAACCTCTCTGCTCCTATTTTCTACTCTATACAATAGGGGATTACAATAATATCTACCTCATACAGTTGTGAGAAATAAGTTAACAAGTGTAACAGACTTGGAACATAGCAGGTGTGTTTAGTAAAGGTTAACTATTATTACTTCACCAAGTTGTTACGATTCGATGAGGCAATATATGTATTAGTGCTTTCCCTATGACCCCAGTTATCTGCGAGGTAGCCAGCAAACAGTATTGGTCCTGTAGCAGGAAGTTTCTGATCCTCAAAAAGATCTTATCTTCCCTCAATCTCATCCTCATTTCACTGTCCTGAACCAGGACTTTGTCACTTGCAGGGCTTTTCATCTGCTTTTGTCCCAACTCTCTGTAATTGTGAGTACATCTGAGTGCTGCACGTGAATCTGCATGTTTGCTTCTGTTTGCCTGCCAGGGCTACTATGAGGTCTAGATGTGATACTGAGTAGGACTCTGATGTTGGATGGATACGATTCTGCTTGTGTCTCTGCACACATAAATGAGTATCTACAACGGCAGGGCCTAACAGTGCCTTCTCTTTGGTATGCCCCCCAGAGTCTAGTACGAGGCCCTGACATGGTGGGACATTCAGCAGATCTTTTCCATGTGGCTCTTAGTGGACAAGGGGATCATGCATGGTCCCTGCCCTTGAGAAGCTCCCAGCCACGGGTACACATAAACTAACACATAAGCTGGTTGTAATGAATTCTGTAAGAGAACAAAAAAATTACCAGAGAAAGGGCTAAGGAATGTCAAAGAAGGAAAGTATCACTTCCACATGAGGATTCCAGGAAGGTTTCCTGCAGGATGGGGAGGGGATGCAGAGGGGTAGCATTTAAGCTGGGTTTTGAAGGGTACGCAGGGCTTTGAATCTGTGGAGAGTTTAGAAATAAAGGGAGCAATGTGAGCAAAGGCAAGAAAGCTGGAAGGTATATGTGTGTGTGTACTGCCTTTTTTTTCCTGGGAACAGAGAGACCCTGGCTTTGATTGCTCAATACCTAACTTTCTGACTCAAATGCCATTTGGCATGTGATAGTATGTCTGGGAGGCTAGAGTCCCAGGTTCCAGTCCCAGCTCTGTGCTTACTACACTGTGTGAACCTGAGCAAGTCCCATCTCTTCTTTGGGCCCCAGTGTCCACCTGTGTATAAGGACCAAGTGAGCGCTGAGGGCCCTGCAGCTCTGACACCCTTGGATACCTGATGTCATCTTTTCCGCTGTTTTTAATTAGCCCCTCCTCCTCCTTGTGGCCCCAGGACCTCCCACGAACAGGCAGGACACAGAGCTCTCCTCAAATCCATCCTTTTCCTGGAGTTCAGCCTCCCACCAGGAAGTGGGAAAGCAGGATTTCCTCGGAGGATGTTCTCTGCGACCCAGACAGTTCCGGTTTGGGGTGCAGAGAGGAAGAGATAGGAAGCATAGCCTAGGCTTCCTCCTAAAACATCTTTTTGGGGGTTTTATGTTTTTCTTCCACAGACTTGAGCTCCTTAAAAACAGGGAATGCGTAATTCAGAGCTGGAGAGTCATATTGGTACCCCTTTGAACAGATATTACTCAACATTTTGGTGGGGAAAACTGTATTCCCTTTTTCCTTTTAAATTGTGAAATATATTAAACATTATAAAAAGTAGGTAAATCTTTTCCTGACCTCGGCCTGTGGAAATCCTTCAAAATCTTTCAAGGCCCATCTTCGATACTGTCTTGCGGAAAGCCTTTCCTTCCTCTGGACTTTCAAACCACTGCTCACACCCGATTTCAGCATCACCATTTCATACGATCAGAGCATGTCAGAGACACTTGGGAATAACCCCTTCATCTCAGAAACCGGGGAAATTAAAGCCCGTGACTTGTGCATTGTCACAGAGTTTGGGGCAGAGTGACAACAGAAATCCAATTGTTGCTGACTCCTAATACAATGTTTTTTCTACTTGTGTATTTTCTCTTTGCTATCTTTGGTTCCCTGCCCCAAACCCTCTCCTCCAATGCTATACATATTCATAGCTCCATGCTTTCACACAAGTTGTTCCCTCCATCAGAAATATGCCTTTTTTAAAGATGCCTAAAAGCTATCATAGCAACTGATTTGCCAAACAACATCCCATAGTAAAACACTCTTCTTAGAAAACCTTCTAGAGTAGGCTTCAGTGATGGTCCCTCTTGGCACATAGTAGAGATGTGTTTTGTCGAATTACTACACAGTCTAAATTCAGTGTCTCCAAAACTGAACATCTTATCCTTAATTAAATGTGGCCTTCATTTGGGTGTGGTAAAAAGTGATCAAATTAGGTTTTGCCTAAAAAGCCTCAGGTTATTTTTATTGTTCAAATAGCTTCTTGTTACAAACATTGCAGGGCTCTCAGTGATAAAGGTAATTGATGAGATTATCAGTTAATTCATGAACACTGTTTTTTCAATAGTGTCTATATAAATTGTACCCACACTCACTTTTGGGTGAAATACTGAGGGCTAAAGTTAAACAGAACATGGAAAGTGGCATCAACAGTTCCATTACTTCAATTTACTCCAGTAAAATGTGTAAGTGGATTTTTATGCTATTTATTAAAATAAAGCCCCCAAAGATGCTCTTGAAAACACAGGGAAAGACATCACCATTGCCATTCACATCTTAATTTTAACTTCAGAGAGCAATGATGTAGGGAAGGATACACTATTTGGTCATGGCCCCAGTGGGGAACAGTAGGGAGCCACCATATTACTACACTTGGGCTTGCTAACTATAAATTGTTTTAGCAGGTTACTGTCTCAGAAAACCACAGCTGGTTTGGAAATGGATCAGCCTCTTGAGTACCTGAGATTACAGGCATGAGCCACTGTGCCTGGCCAATGTCAGTTACTTGGTTTTGATAATTTACTATGATTACCATAAGATGTTATCATAAGGGGACACAGGGAGAAGGGTACACTTGAACTCTCTGTATTATTTTGGTAACTTTTGGGGAATCTAAAAGTTTCTTAAAAAGTGGGGAAGAGAACTATAGCAGAGAGCAAAGAAAAACAGTCAATCTAGACATTTTTATTAAGTTCTATTAAAAATATTAAAACACTTGAAAAACTCACAAAGGTTATAAAACACACTCAGTAATTTTCTTATTCTGTGATAGCTAGTGCTATATACTGAAGATGTTACATTAACATTAACCCACCACACCTCAAAACTTGTATTTCCAGAATATTCATCTTAAGAGGAAATATACTCCTTATATAAAACATCTTAAGTTATTTAAAAAAAAAAATAACTCCCCTTAAACTCAAGAAGGGTTGATTTTGCTAATTTAGTCAGGGTCATGATAACTTCATGTTCTTTTAGTGATATGGGGTAGATGCAGTGATGCAACATGCTAGGAAAACAGACTTCTTAAAATGTACAGTATAAAACAGCAGTACAGATTCAGAGTTGGATAGTATATGTTTTCCTAAATTTGTTGAAATAACTGATCTCATTTGCTTTTCCTAAAATTTTCAGTGATGCTGAACAGCTCTACTTGAACAAGAAGAACTTAGCCCTCCCATTAGCTAGCCATCTTTATAGACAATCAAGTCACTTGTTCAGCTCTTTGCAATCAGCTGCTACTAAGAAAGAGACTGACTCCTGGAATGATTAGGAATCCCAACATCACCAAAAGGCTCTGGTTTCCCTAAGTATCTTGAGTAGACACCCTGTCCTTATATCAGAAGGACAGGGAGTTAAAGGTTTAAAATAATTTTGGCAACTGTCTGAGACGCTTTATATCTAAGAAGGTGCCTACTGAATTCATGCTATTCATTTGCTTTAAAGTTTCAGAAGGTTGCAAATTTTCAGGAAAAATTGGAATGTCCCTTTCATTTTCCTTCTCAGGGTGTTGAGTAAACTCTGCTTTCCCAGTTCGGAGGTTCACTACAGGACTTGGTTTACGGTTTTTTAATAAGAAAGCTGGGTTTTCATTCAACAGCTGTGTTGCTTTTGGCTGCACAATTTCATTTGTAATGTTTCTCAATACTGGCATATCTGTGTGGGTACCCATGGATTCACAGTTATGACAATTAATTATTTCATAGGCATTCCCAGAAAGCTCTTTCTGACGACCAAGTTGTTCAGGTGTGGATGTAAGGTTTCCACTCAGTAAATGTTCATTCTTGCTATCTGCATTGTTGGAGGGCTCCTCCTCATCTTCACTATTGTCACTGCTTTGTATGAGTCCGTATCTCTTCATATATTTTTTGGTTGCAAATGACATGTTGTTTGGTGATATTAAACTAAGCCCCACTGTGCTTCTGTCTGTATTAATATGTAGAAGGCTAAAAGATGAGTCACAGTTGTTTTGGTTTGATCGAGTGAGAGATAACTGTGACAGCTGATGCTCATTTAAGTATTTCAGAGCTATAGCATTTGCTTCCATGCTCAAATCCACACCACTGGGGCTTAAGCCACTCACGCCAACATTAGCAAATGACATGTAGTTTAATCCAGAGATCACTGCTTCTGGGCTGATGCATGCCAACACACTGAAAGACACAAAGTAGTAGGCCATTATTTACCTTATTTTGAGTACTAAATAGTGTCATTCTAAATGTGTTCCATTCTATAAAATAACAAAAGGTCTTCAGCTTTAAATTCATGGTGCTTTTTATCTGAGTACTCAGATATAAGTCTTGATGATCCAGATACACACTCAAGGGATAAATACAACCTAGAAGGTAATCCATGATTCACAGATTTAAAGTGGAATAGAAATTCATTTTCCTAAATTTGTACATCAGTCATGGTTTTAAGACCAAATACAAAGCCCCAAATGTAAGAGTCATTCAATATCACTATGAGTCACTTGATTTACATCTATTAACCCCAAACAGTGGGAGAGATCAGCTAACGCTCAAAGTAAAGTAAAACATATAAATAAAACTAAACACAAAACACATTTGATGACACAACTATAAGCTTTGGTAAGTAGCTCAGAAAATTAAATTGTTCATAGTTCAAGAGATTCCATTTATAATGAATAAAAAACATCAACCAGTCTCTGGATATGGGCTTGTACACACACAAACTTTTTTCATTAGATATAATCTTCAACTCACTTTGGTTAGTGTTATCTCAACTGACTTGCCTTTTTCTTTATATCACATATATAATCATAACAGCTGCTAATTCTTACTGAGGCCTTATATGTGCCAGGCATTCTGCTAAATGCTTAACATGCATTATTCACACATATTCCTCACAGTAACCTTTCCCAGGGTTAAAATACCTAATATTTCAACCTTATTCTCCACTTCGACACTTTATATTCCCCTTGCTCTACTTTTGTTTTCTCCTCAGCACTTACTGCTATCTATATATTTAACACGCATCTCATTTATGGTCTACCTCCCTCATGAAAGCCAATGAGGGCAGAGATTATTATGTTTTCTCCCTCACTGCAGTATACTCGGTGCCTAGAATATAGTAGGCACTCAGCAAATATCTGCTGAATGAATAAAGAATTAGGAACTATTATTATCTTTATTTTCAGTTGAGAAAACTGAGGAGTAGAGATTTGAACTAACTTTCTTAAAGTTTAACAGCTAGTGAGTGGTAAGCCAAGACTGAAACCGAGGTCTGTCTTATTCTCTGGTGCTCTGTAACCACTGTTTCACTGTACTGTATTCGGCAACTTGTGTTTTGCTATCAGACTCCCTTCTGCATTTGTTGTGGTAAACATTATGTTCTAGACAAAGAATATGCTATGGCTTTCTATATCATCCCATGAAGAAACTCAGCTGTTTTTATGTGCCAGCCACTGCTTGCATCCACAGCCCCACAAAATCCAAGTAACTATCAGGTATTTTCACTGTCATAAACACCTAAAATTAGGAAGAAGCTATTTCCAACTATTAGTATTCCCTGAAACCAGTGATGTCATCACCAAACAATGGAACAACAGTGTGCTCAATAATGCTGGTCTTTATAACAACCTTGGAATTCTCCCTTAACCTTCTTGGTACTTAATGCTTTGGAGACTGTTTCAATAAAATGAAAGAGATACTACCAATGTATCTAGATATTATTCTTTTATTCATGGTGATAATAATACCTTCTTAATATATAGTCCTTTTCTACTTTGCCTGTTTTCTCAGAATAGGCAACCTGTATATTAAATCAAAAAACTTACGTATATTGAAGTATATATAAGTATAATGTCTATAGATAATATTAATGTAAATAATTTGACAAAAGCAAAAACTTCTGGTTCAAAATTTAATATTTTGAAATGTTAAATATTTATTTGGAGAAAGTAGGTCTAATTTTAATTAGATCTTCTTTTATAGAATAGTTAAAAGATCCATGAAGCAGTCAACATCAGTTTAGAAGGTTCTTCAAGTTTTACTAACACAGCTAGCTAGTTTCCATTTGGGGGGCAATAAGACATCATTACTTTGATAGCAAAACCAATCAAGCCAGGTACAATGGTGCACACCTGTAGTCCCAACTACTTGAGAGGCTGAGGTGGGAGACTCGCTTGAGCCCAGGAGTTTGAGGCCAGCCTGGACACAAAGTGAGACCCTGTCTCTTAAAAAACAAAAAACCAAATCAATCCTCAAAACCAAAGCAAAAGGAGGCTGCTCCACTAATCAAATCCTAAAAGCCTTCAGCACAAATATACGTTAGAATCTCATTAGACGAACAGTCACAAAAGGATGATGAAAGTCCCTGAATAATTAAAGAGAGTCACATGCCAACAATTTGAGGCAAACTCTAAAATTATTCCAACTTACTTAAAGATGAAAACCAATCTTGACTTATTGTCCTGTTTGAATCCAGATTAGTTATTTCCCACTTTTCCTACATAGGGTTTTCCAACTAATAAGCACAGAGCCAGGAAGCAAGGTAAAGAAGCAACTAGATAGACTGCTTGAGACATGTTCTGAATTACAAATGGGAACCTGCCTGTAGAGGTTGCTGCCAGACCTCAAACCCACAATCTCCATCTCCTGTATAATTTCTAGGTATGTCTGACATCTCTTTCCCTGCCTTCCTGGATCTGGACTCTCTAAGATTCTGAAATAGGAATGTAGAAAGGAAGTTTTCCTTTCCTTGCCTCAGCCACTCTTCTGGTGGGAAGATGTGCTTCTGAAGTCAGAACTGGAACATGAAATGAGTTTTTACATAGATACAATGATAAAAGATAGGTGGTTTATAGAACTAGATGTCACAGGCACATGCTATAATCTATTAGGAACAAGGTATTCCAAGAGTACAAAACATTAATGCTCTCTGAGGGGTCCAGGAAACCTTGACAAAGGAGGTGACATCTGAGTCCAGCTTTGAAGGACTCTGGTGGGCAGGCACAGTGGCTCGCGCCTATAATCCCAGCACTTTGGTAGGCTGAGGCGGGAGGATTGCTGAGGCCAGGTGTTCGAGACCAGCCTGGGCAACAAAGTGAGACCCCATCTCTACAAAAAATAGAAAAAATTGGCCACACACAGTGGTGCATGCCTGTAGTCCCCACTACTCAGGGGCTGAACCAGGAGGATGACTTGGGCCTAGGAGTTGGAGGTAGCAGTGAACCATGATCATGTGATCGTACTTTACCATGGGACAGACCAAGACCCTGTCTCAAAAGAAAAAAAAAAAAGCAGGATTCTGGATTTTGGCAAGCAGAAAGGTAAAAAAGAGCATACTAGATAACAGTAATGTCAAGGAACCTTGCAAGTGCCAAAGGTGAGTAGAATGGAACTTCATAGGGAATGGTAGGTAATTATACTAAAAAGGTAAGTTTAAGATAAACTGTGGGCCAGGTGTGGTGGCTCACATCTGTAATCCTAGCACTCTGGGAGGCTGAGGCAGGCATACTACTTAGGGTAAGGAGTTCAAGACCAGCCTGAGCAAGAGTGAGACCCTGTCTCTACAAAAAATAGAAAAATTAGCCTCGCCTGGTGGCACATGCCTGCAGTCCCAGCTATTCAGGAGTCTGAGGCAGGAGCATCACTTGAGCCCAGGAGTTTGAGGTTGCAGTGAGCTCTGATGATGCCACTGCACTCTAGCCAGGGTGACAGAGCAAGACACTGTCTCAAAAAAAAAAAAAAAAAAAAAAGACATACTGTGAAACAATATGAATAAATCAGGTAGGCTTCAGATAGGCTGGAAGGATATTCCAGACATAAGACTAAGATAACTGACAAAATTTGACTTTCTATGTCAGAGAAATGGTTTCAGTGAAGTTTTATTTTTAATAAAAATAACATATAAAACACATTAATAATAAAATAAACATTTTAAAAATATATGTTTGCTCTCAATTAGCACAGATGTTTAAAAAGGACAATTTTTAATATAGGGTAATTACAACACAGTATAAAAGTACTGCTAATATTAGCTACCTTTCCTATATGCTTCCACAGCATTCGATATCTTTCCTTTTCATAGCAGGCATCAGAATATATTATAATTGACTATTTACCTGTGCATCTTCCCCACTGAACTGTAAACTCTATGAGGGTAAGAATGTCTTTAGCAGGTTATCTTGTGTATCATGATACCTCTTTCATAGCTGACTCATAAGAGAAGCTCATTATATATTTATTGAAATGAAAGTGCTGGTGACATAGTAACACACAAAGCTGGTAGGAGTGTAAAACCTCACTCTTTCAGAAAGCAACTTAGCAATAGCTTTGAAATTTTTCATACCATTTTTGACTTGAGTATTTCCATTTCCAAGACTCCTAAGAAAATAACCCTAAAACTGAAAAATGCAGTATTTGTTCATCATATCAGTAAAGTTCATCATATCAACATTAAAATAGTCAAGAAATTGTGGCCGGGCCTGGTAGCTCAGGCCTATAATCCTAGCACTTTGGGAGGCCAAGGTGGGAGGACTGCTTGAGCCCAGGAGTTCAAGACCAGCCTGAGCCATATGACCAGTCATAGCAAGACCCCATCTTTACAAAAAATAGAAAAATTAGCTGGGCATGGTGGCCCGTGCCTGCAGTTCCAGCTACTTGGAAGGCTGATCCAGAAGGATTGCTTGAGCCCAGGAGAATGAGGTTGCAGTGAGCTATGATGACACCACTGCACTCTAGCGTGGGCAACAGAGTGCGACTCTGTCTCAAAAAACCAAAAATGAAACAAAACAAAAAATCAAGTTCATTATATACTGAAAATTTGTTAATTTCAATTTTTCACACTAAAGATGTTAAAATAGAATAGCCACTGTGAATAAATACATTACCTAAAAAATACTCCCTAAGGGCAGCCATACCAAAACATAAGGGTTTCACAAAGATAGGAGGGTGATTTGTATGTGTTCCAAGAAAGATTATATAGCCTTTACCTCATAGCATGGAAATAAATCCTTCAAAAATGCTAGCCTCATTCACCTACATTATTGGTAGGAATATAAACTAATTCACCTACACTATTGGTAGAAATATAAACTATTGGGTGGGCAATGGTAATAATATCCACCAAAACTTTAAATGCACATGCCCTTTGATCCTGCCTACCTATGAATTTATCCTACAAAGACACTTGTACAAGCATCTGTAAAACAATGTTCACTTAGCATCGTTTAAAACAACAAATAAGAAATTTGGCCTAAAGGTCCATTAATAGAGGACTGGGGTTCAATATATTATAGTACAAGAGTAAAAGAATATTGGGCAGCTATTTAAATGCATGAGAAAGAATTATATACACCTATAAGGAAATGTATCTAAAAATATAATAATGTTAAGAAAAAAATCAAATCACAAAACTTATCAAACATATGTACTTGAATATTCATAGAATATTTCTAGAAGAATACAAAAGAATGGAGGAGACAGACTGAGAAGTTTGGGAGTAGAGATTTTTGCATATTATCTTATATTCTTCTATATCGTTTTTTAAAACATGAAATTTTATTACTTTTATAATTAGAAAACAACAAAAAATAATTAAGAGAAAACATTCTAGCCTTAATAATATAATTTCCAGACTTTATCCTCTTTTTTTATATTTATGTGCTAAGGTCATCTTTGATGGAGAGAAATCTGAACAGACAGATTTGACCAATTGGACACACTCCTAGAAAATATGTTTTTGCTTTTTATTTTATTTTTAAAATTTTTTTAGAGATAGAGTCTCGCTCTATCACCCAGGATGGAATGCATTGGCACAATCATAGCTCGCTGTGACCTTAAAGTCCTGGACTCAACTGATCCTCTTGCCTCAGCCTCCCAAACAGCTAAGACCACAGGCATGCGCCACTACACCCAGCTAATGTTTTTCCTTTACAGATAAGACAACTGTATAACTGCACACCCAGTAGCTGGCATAGACCCTCTCACCTCCAGGAAGACTTTTCAGACACTGTCAAGTAAAACTCCTTTCTCTTTGCACAAAACTCCCAAAATATTTTGCTGGCATCTCTACCCACGAGTTATCTCACAATCTCTTTCAAATTACTTCTGTATGTAACCCTCTCTCTGAATAAAATGAAGAATCTAAAATGTAGAGATGATCTCTTATTCATCATACATATAGCAGGCCCTGAATAAATGATGAATCAACTGAATTGAGGCACAAATATATCTTTTCTCATGACACTGCTGCAATACATCTAAAATTTATTCATCTTTTAAAACGAGCTTTTTAAAGTTACCTGGCATGGTCCACTTTATGTGCATTTTTTTTCACTTTAGTGGGAGAATCAATTTTTACTCCAAGGCTTCTTAGTTGCTTAAGGGTTGCATTAAGAACACAATCTTTGTCCACCAATCCTGAATCACGCTTTTTTTTCTTTGTATTGTAAACATTTTGGGTTCTGGCGCATTCGCGGCTGATAATTACTGCCTTGGTAGATGGCTGCTCAGTTTCTTTGGGGGAATTATTTAATAGGTGGTTCACTTGACCCTGATTAAAAAGAAAAATGACACATCTAAAATACCACTATTAAAAATCTTAGGATAAGATCTTAAATAATACCATAAGTAAGGCCACAGAAAAGCAAAATATTATCATCTTGTCAAATTCTACAAAGTATCAAGTACATTTGCAAGTATTATGGGGTTTTTATAAAAGAAGCCCATCTTAATGAATAATTTCATCAGACCCTAGAAGAAACAGAATGTTTGTTCAGAATTTGTTCATTTTAAAACCAACATATTTAAAATCATTTGAGTAATAATCCAAGTGTTTTCAAGGATTTAGGGTAAATTCTTTATAAACAAAGTTTTAAATTACACTTTCATTTGAAAAATGATATTATGTTTCACAGTTATTAATATAAAAAATTAGACCTTTATGTTACTTTCAGAATTAGTCTCCTTTCTTTTCTCACTTTCTGAAAACAAGAATGACTTGTGATACTATCTCTGCCTTCCTGACGTTAAAGCATATTTCATTCCCTGAGCATACAAGCAAGCTGCTAGCACCAGTGTAGGTCGTAGCAGGCAAATAACCAGTATGGGTTCACTGGTAAACACACAGGGTCCTAAGAAGTGTATTTAATTAATCTTCAATTACAAATGGAGAAATTAAATGTTCCAAAGTCTACAATTTGGACTGAAGTGACTGCCAGGGTTCTTTCACGTCCCAGATCACATTCTAAGTTTTCCAAGAAGATTAGTTCCTCCAACCAGAATTACTTCTTTCTTCTGTGCTCCCTTTGCTTTACACTGCTTTTCAACCTGTCTTACTGTTTGTTACCAGTGTCAGTGTGCTATTGCTTCCCCTAGGCTCTCAAGGGCACAGATTGTCACATTCGTCTTTATGTTATCTACTTTATTTAGTTTTCTTAGACTAAGCTAAGTATTTAATAAACATCTGCTCGCTTGAACTGAAATCAGTAAATATTATCATAAATATCCCACCACTTTCCAATTTTCAAATTTCCTACAAACTCTTGCTTATTTTTTTCGGATACAAATTTTAGTTTGAATTTGGCAAAATATCAACACATATTTTTTAAATAAGTCCTTCTTTTTGCTAAGTGTATAATAATGTTTATAATAAATTACTGAATTTAGATTGTCACAATTTATGAAAGCTCAAAGAAATAAATGATATATTGTTAATTAGGCAAAAATCTTTTTATCTCAAGGTCTCAATTGGTTTAAATCCAGGAAAAGCTTAACTAGTATAACCTATACTAAGTAATAATGTCAAGAAGATGAAATGGTCTACATTTTCTTACCAATAAATCCTGGTAAATTTTCTGGTTATCTGATGGTTGATGAGGCAAGGGTTGCATTACTTGCTCAATTTTTGGTTCCCCTGATGTTTCAGAGTTGTTACTGGCACCCTCTGTTGGTCCTGTCTGTAAGCACATGCTTACATTCTCTGCCAGAAGGCCATTTGGAAAGAACACAGGTACATCAGCTTCTTTTCTCACAACTGGAGAAGAGCTGTTTAAAAGGATATATAATGTAAACAGGGTTAGTTATCAAGGTACTTTTAACATATATTTGAAATGTAGTAACTTTGGAAGAAAGGGATGAGACTTAAGCAGCATCCATCCCTAGAGGAGGTTATCAGCTCTTAGCAATGCTATATTAATACCTCCTCCTGACAGGCTGCACATAAACTAACCATAATACCTTTCTAAGTTACGTTATTTGTTTACTTCAAATTTTAAAATAATATTGAAGAAAAGGGAAGCTTTACACACTGTTGGTGGAAATGTAAAGTAGTATAACCATTATGGAAAACAGTATGGAGGTTCCTTAAAAAAATTAAAACATAAACTACCATATGATCCAGCAATCCAACTCCTGGGTATATATCCAAAGGAAATGAAGTAAGTGTGTTGAAGAGATATCTGTACTCCCATGTTTGCTGCAGCACTATTCCTAATAGCCAAAATAGGGAATCAACTTACGTGTCCATCAAAGGATGAATGGATAAAGAAAATGTGGTATATATATATATATGTACACGAGAGAATACTATTCAGCCATAAAAAGGAAATCTTGTCATTTGTGACAACATGGATGGAACTGGACAACATTTAGTGACATAAGCCAGGCACAGAAACACAAATACTGCTATGACTTCACTCATACGTGGTTATCTAAAGAAGTTGATCCCACAGAGGGAGAGAGCAGAATGGTGGTTACTAGAGGCTGGGGTAACTGGGGTGAAGGGAGACTGGGGAGATGTTGGTCAAAGAATACATATTTATAATTAGATAGGAGGAATAAGTTCAAGAGATCTATTGTATAACATGGTGACCATAGTTAATGATGATATAATTCTTGAGAAATGTTGTAAGAGGGGATGGATGTTGAGTGATAAAAGTGATGACTATGTGAGACGGTGTGGTGTATTTGCGGATTGGCTAGATACATATATTTTTTAAGACAAGGTCTTATTTTGTTGCCTGAGCTAGAATGCAATGGCATCATCATAGCTCACTACAACCTAAAACTCCTGCCTCAGTTTCCGGAACAGCTGGGACTACAGGTTTGCACCACTATGCCTGGCTAATTTTTCTATTTTTTGTAGAGCCGGGGTCTCGCTCTTGCTCAGGCCAGTCTCAAACTCCTGAGCTTAGGCAATCCTCCCACCTTGCCTCCCAAAGTGCTGGGATTACAGGTGTGACCCACTGTGCCCAATCTGGCTAGATTTTTTTTTTTTGAGATGGAGTCTTGCTCTGTTGCTTGGGCTAGAGTGCTGTGGTGTCAGCCTAGCTTACAGCAACCTCAAACTCCTGGGCTCAAGCAATCCTTCTGTCTCAGCCTCCTGAGTAGCTGGGACTACAGGCATGTGCCACCATGCCCGCCAGCCTGGCTAGATTTAACCACTCTGCAGTGTATATATACTTCAAAACATCATGTTGTACATAATATACACAATTTTATATATGACAATTTAAAATATAAATGTTAAAAATAAAATTGTAGTCAATATCCTTGTCAAATGAAAGTTCATAAGCTTCCATTTATAATCACACTACATACTTGCTTGTATTCCTTTTCTTCTTTATGCTTATTTTTTCAATTTTATACAATGAGCATTATTTGCAAAATTAGAAAATAAATAAAACATTTTAAAAATAACTAGGGAAATCAGTGTTAAAAACATATTTCTTATTAGAACAGTAATCTGTGGCTCCTGTAAAATAGAGAATAATAAATATTAGCTAGCAGAAGACTTATTATGGACCAGGTATGATTTCAAGTGCATTATCTTATATAATCCTTACCAAAAAAACCTATGAGATAGATATTATGTATTAGCCCCATTTGACATGTAAAGAAATTGAGGCACAGAGAGGTTAAGTAACTAACCTACACCAAATATGAAGAAAATAAAAGTCACGGGTAATTTAATACCTATAGAGAACCACTGTTAACACTTCAGAGTATTTCCACTTGTATTTTTTTATATAAATTATATGTATTGTCTCTGAAAAACTGTACCAGATTATAATAGTTTTGGGAGCAGCTTTTTAAAACTTAATATTATATCATGAGTATCTTCCTATTTCATTACATATTCTTTTTTATTATTTATTTATTTTTGAGACAAGGTCTCACCCTGTTGCCTGGGCTAGATTACAGTGGCACGATCATAGCTCACTTCAACTTCAAAACTCCTGGGCTCAAGTGATCCTTTGGCCTCAGCCTCCTGAGTAGCTGGGACTACATGTGTGCACCACTATATCTAGTTCATTTTTTAAAAATTTTTTGTAAAAATGAGGTCTTGCCATGTTGCCCTGGCTGGTCTCTAACTCCTGGGCTCAAGCGATCTTCCTGCCTCAGTCTCCCAAACTGCTGGGATTACAGGTGTGAGCCACTGTTCCTGGCCTCATTACATATTCTTAAAAATAAGTTTTAGTCTTCACATAATATTTCATTTTACAGACACAGTATGATTTTTCTAACATCTCTTCTTTAAAACTTAGGTTATTTCCAATATTTCTACATTGTTTAATTTTAACTTGATATGAACTGCCAAGCACACATTTGGTATATAATAAGCTCAATAAATATCAGCTGAATTGAATTTTTATAAAACACCAGTCAACATATACTTCTAAGAAAAAGTCCATAAATTTGACTATATAAAAATAAAAAAAAAATTACATGGCAAAAAACAACATAAACAAGTCAAAAGACAACTGACAACTGGGAGAAAATATTTACAATATATACCACAAAGAGCTAGCATCTCTAATATACAAAGAAACTTAAAAATGGAAGGTAAAGGACCTAAAAGTCTACAGAAAAATGGTAAAAGACATACACAGGCAATTCACAGATATCAAAATGACCCTTAACATGAAAAGGTGTTCAAACTCATACATAATTTAAAAACAAAACCTAAAATAACACTGAGATACTACTTGTCACCTGTCAGACTGGTATAAAATTTTTTTCACAAAAAATGTCAACATATTTTGTCAGCGTGGCTATGGGGAAACAAGTCCTCTCATACATTGCTGGTGAGAATGCAAACTGGTAAAAGTAAAACCCTTTCTGGAAGGAAATTTGGCAATACCTAAAAAAAATTATATATGCATTTAACTGTGGATGCAGGAATCCCACTTCTAAAAAATTCAAATACACACATACACAAAAATTCACTGTACCACTGTTTGTAATTGCAGAATACTGGAAAAAATCCAAATGCTTATAAATAGGAGAGTAGTTGATTAAATTATGATACATTCACGCAATGGGGTACTATGCAGCTATTAAAGAAGAATGAGGAAGATCTCTAAGAACTGATCTGGAGTGATTTCCAAGGTATACTGTCAAGTGAAAAGAGCGAAGTTTGAAACAGTACTTGCGGTATGCTTCTTTTCTACACTTCATGTAAGAAAGGAGACATGAAATAAAGATATACATGTTCCTTTGTGCAAAAGAAATACAGGAAGGATAAGCCAGCCAGAAGCTAAAAAGATTGGTTACCTAAAGGGGATGGGTGGGAAAGGCTAGGAAGAAAGGAGATTTGAAAATAGGGGTGCAGGGATAAGAAGGGAGCAACCCTTTTCTTAGTATATACTTTTTTATACAGCTTTGTCTCTTAGAACCATAGTAATGTTTCACACATCCCCAAAATAAGTAAAGCCAACCAGAATGTAGGGGGACCCCAAAAGGGAATTCAAACAGTAAAACATGAACCTAATGGCATAACGAATAACATAACCACACTGATGGGAACAGGGAAGAAAAGGACTAACCTAAATAACTCTGGAAAACAGTATTTTGACTGGATACTGGAAGGCTGAAGATAAAACTGTGCACAAATAGTATACTCTAGTTAGTTAATCTGTTTCGAAATTCTGCTTTATGTATACGAGATTGAATAAATTGAATAAGTAATATAGCAAACATAATGAGAACCAGGTTTCTCACTGTTGGAAAATAAAGCTTTAAATAAGAAAAGAGGGTTTTGGATTGGAACTGGAGGGTCAGTATGAAGTCAAGAATTTTTATATGTACATATACATCTAGAAATAAGCATAGATTTGTATGTATGCATGGGTTAGCAGGCATATATATATATTTATGTGTATGTGCATGCATACATATGTGCATGTGTGTGTGTGTGTGTATATACATAAATAAAATAGGTCTGTGTGCAAAGAGAGCCTAGAAGCACAGACACAACAGTAACGAAGAGCATACCTAGTATAGTGACCAGATCTTGTTCCTAAATACCATTCTCTCATACTAGCACTCCTGTTTTCTGTGGTTGTTACCTGGAACATCTATCTTGTGGTACCAGAAAATAAGAATGTGTACAAAAAAGGATAGAGACTTGTCCAAAATAAACAGAAGCCAATCTAAAAGAGCTTCCAATGGCCAAAACTGGAATAAATCGAGCAATAAAATAATGATAGTATTAGATTATAACACAGAATAAAAGAAACATCCAAGAGTCCTTACTGGCATAAATAAATGAGTGAGTAAGTGGAAATGAAGGGACATCTTCTTTCCTTACAGAAGAACTCAATTTATAAATGTAGAAGGAATGAGGAAAAGTATAAAATTGTCATTAGGCAAATACTACAGTAGTAATCACTGCAGACAAGATCCGTAGACGGATACCAAAATAAATGGAAGAAAGCTTAGAAGAGGATATCTGCGGTTTCAAAGTAACTTCCTCAAGGGATTTATTTACTAATAATAAATAAATAGGCCGGGCATGGTGGCTCATGCCTGTAATCCTAGCACTCTGGGAGGCCGAGGTGGGCGGATCATTTGAGCTCAGGGGTTCCAGACCAGTCTGAGCAAGAGCGAGACCCCATCTCTACTAAAAAAATAGAAAGAAATTACCTGGACAACTAAAAATATATAGAAAAAATTAGCCGGGCCTGGTGGCACATGCCTGTAAAGTCCCAGCTACTCGGGAGGCTGAGGCAGAAGGATTGCCTGAGCCCAGGAGTTTTAGGTTC